AGAACATACGTAATATATACAGGGTAATACTGCATGTATGGTATTATTTACAAAAAGAGGCCTGTTCTTTTTAGCTGAGCTTCTTGCATGGGGTTCATCTTTTATCTTTCTCCAATGTAAAGAGAAAAGGAGGAAAGATGTATCATGCAAGTTTAGCCTGTTAAAAAAAAAAACAGGCCTAAAGTATCATACAGATCGTATCACCAATGTATTGATCATATAACTTTTTCTAGAAAATATGTATATGTACACATACATACAAAAAATTTACGCCCTAAGGAAAAAGTTACATGATTGACCCTCAAAACAGAACGCTCAAGTACAAGGCTCTTCAAGATCCTTCATGTTTCCAGAGTTGAAGTGTCATTAGCATCCCATTCTGGCGATTTATCCCATACATCAAGAATCTTCAAATTTTGTACATCTGGTGGTGAAACTCGCCAAGGCGATCAAGGTATGCTTACCGTCTCCATCCTCCGTCAGACTAAAATTGTCATTCGACGCTTCCTGAATAGAGCTGTTGGACAAGGCCGGCGATACCACTGCCTGCAAGAAACAACAACAAAAGAATAGGCCAATTGCAGATCGTCATTTTCGTAGAATCAATCACGTTCGAACAAGAAGGGAGAGTTTAACCTGCGCCAGTTGTTGCACACTCGCCTGCAGCCTCGCAGGCGACTGCTTCATCTCCTCCGCGAGTTTGTCCTTGAATTTCTTGAACATCCTGGCGTGTGGCTATCGAAAGCAGCGGTCGGTGACGATAAGCGAGCGTGATAAGCGAGCGCGATAAGCGCCGTGCGAAATTGAAGTCCTTCAATCAGTCACGAGTGGAGTACAATAACGCACTGTTTACGTGGATTCGGGCCGTCAGGAACGGTGACGCGAACACGGGGAATCCGGACTACGACGGGAATGTACGGCGCTGGGGACATGGTACCGGAAACGCCGCTCCTCTTTCCGCCTTCCGGATCTTCGTGAGCGAGAACACCTCCGATAAGAACACTGCGAAAAAATCGCACGATCGTCGAGCTACACAATACATTATTTGATTATCCCATACATACATTGTATGCATGTGTGTGCGTTGACCGCCATTACTGTGTGGGCGCTCGACGTCATCGGGTAGATCAGACACCGTTTTCAACTGTTGAATCTTTCTATTACGTGACGTAATCTTTTTATACAATTGCGACAATAATTTTATACAATAAAGTGACAAACTTCAAGAATTGATTAAATATACATAATCATCACTATATTATTTAATTGAAAAAATTAAAATGAAATTTAAGTTATATTTAATCAAGTTGAGTTTTCATAATCTAGACTACATAGAAAGATCACATCTCACTTTTCGCAATTCTACAATCTCATATTGTCTCAATGATGTAAAGTAGACGACGATAGGAACACACAATTAACAAAGTTATATTTAATAAAAAATAAGCCATGATACAATTGGATGTAACATTTAAACTCAACGATGTCAAGCGACGTTATGACCTCATACATAGAAAGATATTTTATTTAGGGATGCACCAGATATTCGGAAAGTATCCGGTATCCGGTATTATCCGGCATTTTTTTATTATCCGACCGGATAGTCGGATATCATTAGCATCCAGGAATATATCCGGTTGAAATCATCAAAAAAAATTGTTGATTTTTTTTTATTACACAAATGTTCTAAAAATAAGTATGCATATTCATAATGCTATATCTTATACATTGTTGCAAAATTACAATTTTTTCTCTATAGGCTTTTTTTTAAGACATTTTCCTGGAATTCTCGAGTCGGATATCCGACTCGAAAAAAATTGCCTTCTCGGATATCCAACCGGATACTGGATATCCGATGTTACATTTTGTTCCGATATCCGATATCCGATAATTTTACGATCCGGTGCACCCCTAATTCTACTGCTAAGAAAACAAAGAATATTTTCTTGATAATAATCTTAATATAAATTTATTGTAAATTTTAAAAAAACTCGTTATTGTTATATTCAATATAAAAATTATAATACAAAATTTACAAGAATTATTATTTTCTTTTGAAGAATATATAAAATTAATTGAAGAAATGACTTTATATAATAAAAAAATATCAAATTTGTTTTAAGGCAAAATAATTCAAAATTTAAAATTCACCTGAATCTTTAAAGCTCCAGTTGGGTTAAGTTAATTGGCAATTTAATTCAAGTAATATATTATATTATCAACTTACTTTATCTATGAAAAAAAAATTTAGATCAACAATAAGTTAATCTTTATATAGTAATCTTTTCGTAAGCAATTCTGACGATTGAATTAATTTATCGATCACGTTAAATAAATGCGCAAAGATGTTCAAGCAATTAACAGTAGCATTAAAAAATGTTTCAACATCTCTACAAATAACAAAAATAACACTAAAATGTACCTAAAATAAAATAATTGATAAATAGCGTATTAAAATATCCCAGTCAACACCAACTAAAAATAACATAACATTTAGTATATTAAAATTTCACACAATATATAATAAATGTAATAAACATATGGTGTTACATAACAGTTACATTATTGAGAACTAAATTATAACATAGATATGTTACTTTTAGTTGATGTCAATTGCAGGGATGTTGATATGTAATGAATCAACTTCCAAGGAATCGAGGGGTAAAAAAAAACAAAATCTGTTTTTAAAATTTCCATAGTCACTGGACGTTTATTTAAACAACTTCAGCTGCCCTCGCACCTCCTTTGTGAGTCTTAGACAAATACTCGGCAAATTCATGGTATGGCGCCTTTGCAAGAGCTTGTTCCTTCCACAGATCTGGCGTCAAATAAGCATAGGTTTTGGCGATTGCGGCGTACGTAGCCTTGGCGAAATTGCCGAGTGTACTGGTGGAACCTCTGGCCGAAGTGTAGCAGTCTTCGATACCAGCCATCTGAAGTAGCTTCTTGGGAACCGGAGCGGATACGATGCCGGTACCCCTAGGCGCTGGTATCAGGCGCACTTGTACAGAACCGCATTTTCCGGTCACCTTGCACGGCACCGTGTGCGGCTTACCGATCTTGTTGCCCCAGTAACCACGTCGAACCGGTACAACGGAGAGTTTTGCCAGAATGATGGCACCTCGAATAGCAGTGGCTACCTCCTTGGAGCATTTTACTCCCAGTCCAATATGCCCGTTGCTGTCTCCAATGGCGACAAAAGCCTGCAAAAGATGTCTCACTTTTATTATTTTTGTTACAATGACTTCTTTAACATCGCTTGATTATTATTAGATAAATAAAGCCTAATTTATAATGCGCTCTTTGCTTTCTAAAAAATTCTTCCTTTGTATCTTTTTGCGACTGTTTTATTGCCAATTATATTTCTCTTTCTCAAAGTTCATTAATTTTTCTCTCGAGTGACAGAAAACTAAGAAATAAAATAAGAGGCAAGTAGACAAGAGATTAAAGTGATAAAAAGCAAGAAACAGGAAGCAAGGCAAAGAGCACATTGTAGATCAAACTTGAATCTTTATGTTTCTTTTCCTAGTCAATTTCTTAATTGATTGTAATGTCTAAAGAGATTTCTGGTTCACCTTAAAACGCGTGCGTTGACCTGCTCTTGTCTGTTTCTGTACCGGCATGATCTTCAAGACCTCGTCCTTTAAATCCGGCCCAAGGAATTTATCAATGATTTCAAACTCTTTGATGGGTAAGGAGAACAGGTAAATATGCTCTAGAGATTGGATCTTGCCATCTCTGACCAAACGACCCAGCTTGGTGACAGGGACCCATTCTTTGCTGTCTTCCTTCCCACGTCCACGACCACGTCCTCTGCCTCTACCTCCACGACCTCGACCTCTCAGACCTCCACGATCGCCTCCGCGAGAGCCAAAACCTCCACGAAAACCACCACGTGCGGCTGGAGCAGTGTCCGCCATCTGTTAAGCGAAATATAATGTATTATCAAATTTTTATCCAGAAACAATTTTTTTTATACAATATTCGTTGAAAGTATCGTTGATAAGCTGTTTTGCACATTGTTACTCACGTGGGAAATTATGTTTAATTATCAACTATAAATTGAAATTAAGGTAACTCTTAAAAATTAAAACTAAAATATACATAAAACTTTAATGCTTAGGCCGGAATCAGACTACGCATTGAAGATTGAAATTGAAGATCGAAGATTGAAAGACAAATATTGAGGACAAAGGAATTTTAGCTCCTATTGTTTTGATTGGTCAAATTACAATCTTTCAATCTTCAATCTCAATATTCAATGCGTAGTCTGATTCCGGCCTTATAGTAGCTAACCTAATAAACCAACATGTGGTATTTGATGTACTTTGTGCAACGAAAATCCTTTGTGTGCGAACATTTCTTTAATGTCTCCTACTGAACGAAAAACGTATAATAAAATCAAAATTATTTTATTATTGTAACAGATAATTGAAAATTATCAAGAATATATACTCACGTTGCTTCCTTTCTGCACGTAGAATCACAGAAGAGAAAAATGAGTCACGAGACACCAATCAGTCCCGTATCATGAGATTTTTTCCCCATGCGTACACACTATGTAAAATAACATACAAATTTTATTTAACGATATCTAACGATACCTATAAAATTTATTTTATTTAACATATTAGTGTGTACGCATTCAATGAAAATATGAATTTAGATATATATTTTCTATGTGCTGATTTATTACTTAAGTACTTATTATATTTGTCGAAAAAATAAAGAAAACTTCAAAAAACCTCATCAACGATTCAATGAACATTTAAAAAAATATAAATATAGAAATATTTACATATAATAAATATATATAATACATTTAGATTATTAATAAAAACATATATACTTTATATATTAAATACTTTAAATATATAAAGATTTGATCATATAATTAAAAAGTTATATTTTAAATAATTTACATAAATGGAAAGGATAGCATTATTAAAATATTGCGAGAAAAAGGTACCATTGAGTTAAAACAATTTTAATAGCAGCACGAGTATTAATATACGAAAAAAATTTATGGGCCCCAAAAAAAGCATTCTACGTATCACTAACAAATACGAGTCTATACGTAGCTGCTAATCTATCACGTGATCGATTGCGCGCTCATACACATTCGGACGGAAGTAGTCTCGTCATCTAGAATCAGAGACCAATGGAAACCCTCAATTGCTTCATGCAGACGCTGACGTCATATCCGATACTTCAAAAATTGGCGCGTTTTATAATAACAATTAAAGTACAAAGCGATATGAAGACTATATAGATTTATGTTGCTTTATTGCTATCGTACACTTAAATAACGCTGTAACACTTGCCACAATATATAACATATTGTCAATTATTATGTTCTTGGCGATCACCCATCAACTCTCGAAACATCCCGTCTCAGTCACATTATCAACAATATTATAGGACAAACGATGATCAAAGATCTGGGAATACATATATACGCACGCACGACACACGTGTGCGTATACACGTTTGTATGTAAATGCTAAGAGTACTTCAGCTATTACAGAGGGATCACGTTTTCCGCATATACAATCTTACAAGGTACAAGTTATTAGAAAGGAACTGAAAGTCACCGAAACTGCGTTACCCATGACAATCTCTCTAGCAGTAGAAAAAGAAATCCATCATTTACAATGTAGGTAATATCGCATCTAAAAACGGGGTTCAAATCGAAGCTTTATTGATCACATTAACAATATTTTGCTCTACTCAGTCGACATTAAGGACACGTGACAATAGCGTAGTAAACGTTATCCAGTATCCCGGATGTAATTCGACAAGATTACGGATATACCTTTTTTTGTTGCTGTACGCAATCACGTATTATAGATAAACGCATCGTTTTGCTTACGTTTTCCTCTTCAATCGATCTGATGCGATAACTCTTGAGTTATAAAAGTATTATTGTACTGAGAGAGGGAGAGGATACATCGGGCACACGGTGATGAGATCACACGTCTCCGAAATGCACATCGGATAATACTTTGGTAATGTACTGGCGGCGAGTAATCGAGACAGCGTGTTTGGCGGCTTACGAAGCGACGTCCGCGGCTAACAGAATCGATTACGGGAGAATCGCCGCACTGGAATTCCGTATCTATCACGAGGTGATATCAACGGAATATTCGAAGGCGAGTTATGTGTGCACTTGCTGCGACCTGCGAGCCTGATTTCCTCCCTTTAATTCATCTAGGAATCTAGTCGTGTCTCTATTGTGCATCGCAAAAATTGCGCTTGCGAGTTTACTATGCTCCCTATCGAGAGAAAGTCCTCTTACGCGAAATCGTTTTCACAATTTCTGCACGTTCAATTAATTCGGCATTTGACCTTGTCACACGATATATGAATACGTTTTGTTTCCATCGAATTATATTCTCACCAAATAATTTTATCGAATTATCAGGAAGCAAATTAAGAATACCATACCGTAGGACAAGAATCTTACACAAGTGAGATTTTACCTTAGAAAAGGTAATCAGTATCTTCGCACGTTTTATTTCGCCGTATCCGCTCCTATAATCGAAATTTTGAGCTTTTTTCCGTTATGATTCTAATATGTTAGAACTTAATTTAAAAACATTTTTGTAAATCCATTAATTTCATATATTTCTGTATGATACCTCATTTGAATGGTGAACTGAATGTTTTTTCCTTCTTGTTTGTTTTCTTATTCATTGAGTCAAATCAGCAGGGTGTAGTAATACCGCCGTATATTGCCCCGGTATATTTCTTTCCCGATAAGATGAAAATATAAGCGTTTCTCGATTTGCAATGTGCAACTATCGGGCAATATATTACCGGATTAATCACATCGAATTAACATTGAGCGAGTCCGGTGTTTAGGATCTCATGTATGGATAGTCGTATTCCCGTATAGGCGCGAAGGTCTCCTTAATGGCCTGCGGGGATGCCCAGCGAAGAGCGTAGTGAGGACCGCCGGCTTTGTCATTTGTACCGGACATTCGACTACCACCGAATGGCTGTTGACCGACCACTGAACCGGTCGATTTGTCATTGACATAAAAATTACCGGCAGTATACTTAAAATCTTCAAGTGCCTGCTTCGTCCATTTCCTGTACAAATATACATATGTCTGAGACTAAAATGCATCATTATAGTGTCGTTAAACTAGCATAAAAATTTTGAGAATTTATCAGAGTTCAATATAAACAAATTATTACATCATTATACTACAATCTTATTCTGGTTTACAATATACAGACACAACTTTAGAGAATTTAACATGCGATTTAAAGTAGAAGCTATAATTGTGTAACATTTTGCTTAAATTCTTTTACACTCGTCACACGTTACGTAACTGGTATAATTGACTAATTTTACTTACTCATCTTGTGCGAATATCGCGCCTGTTAAGGCGTAAGGTGTGGACGTTTCCACCAGCTTTACCGTCTCGTCTAGTTTGGAATCCTTGTAAACGTATATCGTTAACACTGGGCCGAATATTTCTTCTATCATGAGTTTTTCTTTCGGATTTTTGGATTGTATTATTGTCGGTTCGATAAAATATCCGCACCTGAAAAGACACTTTTATCTCAGAATGATATGTTCATTAAGATAATTGTTACGTAATACAATAATTGTAATAGAACATACGAATCGTCGTAGCCTCCACCGCCAAGAATTTCCATCTTGGGCGATTTCTTCGCGTACTCGATGTAACCGGAAATTCGTTTGAACGCAACGGCGTCTATAACGGCGCCGGTGAATATGGTGAAGTCTCGAATATCACCGATTGTGAGTTTCTGACGAAGAGCTAAGAGGCCATCTTTTATCTGAAACAAGTTCAAATAAATCACATGGATGTGCACTCCAAGGGATTTAACAAAGCGGCACTATTACTAGACTCACCTTGCCCCATAGAGATTCTGGTACATACATTCTGCTACAAGCGGAGCACTTCTGTCCATTGAACTCGAATGCGCTTCTTATCGTCGCGTAGATAACCGATTCCACGTCAGCACTCGGGTGGATGAAGTGATAATTCTTGCCGCCACACTCACCGATCAATTTCGGGTAGTTCCTGTACTTGGGAAGATTTTGACCGACCTGGGCCCATAAACGATTAAACGTCGGCACCGAGCCAGTGAAGTTGAGTCCAGAGAGGTGAGGCGAGGACGTGATGGTATCGCCGAACACAGGTCCTTCACAAGGAACAAAATTCACCACGCCGGGCGGCACCCCGGCCTCCCTGCATATCTTAAAGATCCACCAGTTGGATAATAACGCGGTGTCGGATGGCTTCCAGAGTACGGCGTTACCCTGCAATCGCGGCATGCACGTCGACACGTGCGTATTATTATTAGCGCGTTGCTTTGATCGTGACGATAGCCTCGATTAAAGCGCTGTCAGTATGGTTTGCAAATTACAAACCATCAATGCCGGCGTATAGCTGAGATTACCGCCAATTGCGGTGAAGTTGAAGGGCGACACAGCCGCTACAAAACCGTCCATTCCGCGATACCTCATCGAGTTGAGGGTCTGCTGATTCGGTGAGATTGGCTGGTACTTGAGACTCTCCTTCACGAAATACGCATGCATTTTGAAAAAGTCGATCAGCTCCGCCGCGCTGTCGATCTCTGCTTGGATTACGGTTTTACTCTGACCGAGCATAGTGGCAGCGTTAAGATGTTGCCTGTACTTGGTCGCCATCAGATCTGCTATCCTCAACCACATCTCTAACCGCTTCTCGATTGGCCATTTCTCCCATTCTCGCTGCGCCTTCACCGCGACGTCGATCGCCTTCTTCACGAGCTCCGGCGTCGCCCAGTAATATTTGGCGACTTTTTCCTTGTGATTGTGCGGCTGGAAAATTCGTGATTATCCATGTAACAAAGGACAGTAAATCACGCAAAGAGTCCTGCTCTTCATGATGCTCAGATAACATGCATGTTGCATAAGATATCTAAAATATATCTTTTAGACATAAGACATCTAAAAGACGTCTTTTAAATATATTATGCATAAATGTTATCTGGGTAGGACTAACAAGGGAAATTTCACAACTGTCCGGAACCGATTTGATTCTCTATGAAATATATATTAAAACACGAAAATCTAAGAGAGAGAGAGACACGTATTTTTTTATACATGCGCTAACTCATGTTTAAGGGGTGAAACACCCCTTTCAAAAAAACGGTATTTCTATTTCGAGCCGAATACCGTCGGAAGTATAAAAGATGGAAAAAAATTTTTGAAACAAAAGTTATACGATTTCAAGAGTACTTCAATGTTGTGAAGAAAAAAATTAAAAAAAATTTTTTTTTAAAGGGGTGTTTCACCCCTTAAACATGAGTTAGCGCACGTATAAAAAAATACGTGTCTCTCTTAGATTTTCGTGTTTTACATATTTCACATATTTCATGGAGAATCAAATCGATTCCGGACAGTTGCGAAACTTTCCTTGTAAGAGAGTAAGCGCGATTAGGATAAAGACATACCATGACTTGATATCTGCATAGATCGGTCTTGATCTCCTCATCTCCGATAATTAATGGCACCTCCTCACATTCGCTGCTCATCTTATCCAAGACTTTCTCCAGCTCCGCTCTTTCTGGGCTGCCCTTCTTGTAGTCGAGAACCGGCTCATTCTCCAGCGGAAAGTCCGGTGGGTTCGACACCGGAACTACCGATCCCAAGCATCTGGTGCCGACTCTATCGAAAGATAAACAACGCGTCAAGGTACGAAAAGGCCTATACTTGAATAGATAGTGCCGACAGATAAAATTTGAAGAGTCCTCTTAACAATCTTGTCGATATGATCTTCAAATATTTATTCGACTACTTGTGGTAAAGTCTTGAGTTAACAGTCTTATCATTCTTGTTAAATATGCACTGGCACTTAAAACGAGCCTCTTATTAACATATCAATGTGCGTAAGCAACACTATAATCGGTAGCAAGAATTTCATTTTTTTAGAACGGGGCATGTGTTTTTTTTTTTAATGTGTCTCATCATTATTTATGTGTCGTCAACTAATAAATAATAATCATGTATGGATCGATCGATAAGTATTATTAAATTAATATAGCACACTGAAAGAACATCTGCACACTCGCGTAAACATACGGAAAAAGAATGCAACGATGATAATTTATATGTTTGCTTAACCTTATAATTAGCGGGGTGTTATCGGTGTTTCATGCGATAATTATGATAAATTATGCTTGATATAATTTACATGCTTACATCAAAGAATGTCACTTTTACAGTATATTCGTATCATTCCAAATAATCGAAAGTCTAATATTTTTTTAGATCATAAATTATTTGAATTGTTAATTACTTTCAGAGATCATAAACATTAAAGGTTCGTTCGCGTCGCATGCGCGTTGGAACATATTGGAACATGTTCCAACGCGCTTGGTAGAGTGAATAAGAGCTATGATAAGAGCATGTTGGAGCTTGCGACACGAACAAACCTTATATCAATACATAAAACCCAAAATGGAAAATTTATGAATATTAACATATGAAAAAAGGTATTGTTCGCAATCAAAGATATTTATGCGCTTTCATCCGCAATAAGGACACTTATACATCTAATTCTATCCTCTTTGAAGGGAAGTGGACTTCGCGATGTCAAAGAAGAAAATTAGCTATTGTTATCTTCAAATAATTGAAGATTTAATTCGCAAGAATTGTGATTAAATCTTCGCTTCAGTCCACTTCGCTTCAAAGAGGATAGAATTAGATGTATAAATGCAAGAGGATAAACGCAAAGACAAATTTTGAAAAACCGTAAGTGTACTCTTATGCGTTATCCCTTCTTCGATTCTTTGAATGGAAAGGCCAGAAGCTGATGTGTGCCAATCAGTGCTATCGCGAGCGTCATAATTAATGATGGTCGCGTAACCGTTAAAGCCACTGATGCATCTGACTCGCGGAATAATGTCGGTGACGTGAGTCACATCGAAAGATATTCGAATATCCTCAAGATGATATATACATATGTGTAGATAGAGAGGTAAAAGCTGCTATAGTCAGTGCTGCTCGACCGTGGTGTCAGTTATCGGAGCATCTCTTACGTTTGACAAACGATCTGTTTTTGCTGAACGGGCGAAAAAACATCCCTAAAAATTTATAATATTAAAAAAAAGAAATCTGTAAAGCGCCAGGTTTAATGTACCGATTTTGTTGTAATTGTCTCTTATATCCATTTCTCCAATGTGGATTAATTTTAATCTCAGTTTAATTTTTTTTATCTTCTTCTAGTTCTAAAAATTATGTCCGTTTCTACCAATGTAGATTAACTTTAATTTAATTTACTTTTTATCTTTTTCTAGTTATAAGAATTATAACAGGATAAAGGATAAATTAAATCGAGATTAAAGTTAATCTTGATTTATTTGATAGAAATGGACATTAGAAAAAAATAAAGAAAAAAATAAGAATTAACTCGAAATTAAAGTTGATCTACGTTGGTAGAAACGGGTCTTATTCGAATTGTAAGAAGTGTAAAAATATAGGCTCGTAAGACCAGATTAGATATATGTAGACGAGACGGAATATTATAGTAGTGGAACAGTCGTAAACTTATTGTTAAAACGCGAAACTAGATAAAAAAGTATATAGACAAAAAAGTGTTTATTAATATTTTAGGGCAAGCCCTCTAAGAATATAAAAAAATCAAATAAAAAGGAAATGAAATGACAACAACAAATAATAGTATCTACAAAATAAAGAAATCAAAGATACCAATAAAAAATTAAAAATTAGGATGATAATAAACAAATTATAAATAAAAACAATTTAGGATTCTGAGTTCAAATCTCGATCGGGACTCCGTTAATTGTCCTTTAGAAGAAAAGAAGAGCAAAGAAACGGCTCTCTCTTATAGATAGTAGCAACCTTACGAAGTCAATCGAAAGTGCATCGATGTGATGGACGAGAAGAATGAACAAAAAAGACCAATCATATCACTTTTCTTCTTCACTAAGAATCGTTTTTACGGACATAGGTATATTGTTTTCCAGATAATATTGTATATAAGTTGACACAGGTATTGTTCTGTCTTTGTTACTCATGGAATTTCAAGATAGAAACGTATTCCAAGAAAAATAGTCGTTTGTGTCGACCGTATCTCTAGATCTGGGTGACGAAAATCTGAGAACAGAACATTCTACAAACTTTATCGACGGTATTCTAGCGAAAATATAATAGAATCTCTTGAAAAACTAGGTGAAATTTGCCATTTAAATGATAAATTACGAAATAACAAATCATGCTTGGTTTTTGCTGGCAATCCTTTGAACGTAGTTGACGTCAAACTGCCGTGACGTTCTCCTTGAAATCTTTTGGCAAATTATTAGCCTACCGCCAACATTTTGCTTAGTAAGCCTATTTCTATCAATGTAGATTATTTTTGTAGATTAATTCTTGGTTCAACTAATTCTTCATTTTTTTTAATTCTTAGAATTCTCTAATCTTTAAAATTAGACAAAAATGAAGAATAAATTGAACCGAGATTAAAGTTAATCTTACAATAATGGAATCAGGCCTAAGATAGAAAAACAAATGATCAGTAAGCGATTCTTACGTTCAAAATACGCCAAAAGATTTCACATCTGTCAATGTAGATTAATATTTAAATATTATACATTGGTCTACCGGTTTAATTTATTCTTTATCCGTTTTCAATTCTTAAAACTAGAAAAAGATAAAAAATAAATCACATCGAGATTAAAGTTAATCTACGTTGACAGAATGATCAAAAAGGTGGCTTCAGCTAAACTCGTGACTGGCGATTAATCGGATTAATCCAGTCGGCAAAAGCGCCGTAGCGGAAACTTGAAACAAATTCATATTATCCTTAATCTCTTAAATTTTCCATATTCAAACAACGCAAGAAAACTAATAATAACAATTCTATTCATATACTGATGGGATATATACTTTATCGCAGGTATCGTCGCTATAAAATTATGTCGCGCTGTATTTTGCGTATTTTGCGAACCAAACGAGCGACGTATCCCAGCATATTTTTATGCTATCTCACGAAATCGTATCGTGCATACACATTGACGTCCGTGGACATTGTCAGGTCCAATTCGATGGAAATATTGACAACTGTACCTACGTCGCTCGCGACGATCGATGAACTTCCTTTCGTTCAAAAGGAAGCGGCCGTGTAGAGCTAAACGAGAGATCGCGAGTTGGGTTATCCAGGAGGACGCGTGTTATTTCGCGATACGATCGACATCATCGTCCGGACGGTAAACGAGTAACGTTTAAGGACAGCACTGGTGCGAAATCTACTCACTTTTGGGTATTCGCCAACAACGTCTGACGGCAAATCAGGCCCAACATTTTCCGGCGGAGACGAGGACAGGTGTATTAGACAGAGGGAGACAGACAGGGAGGGAGAGAGAAAGAGAGAGGGATGACGTCGGCGTGCGCCCTTCGTCACACACGATGACGTCGACGATTCGAAGGGTGGACAAGGTGCCCTTCTCGGTTGACAGGTCTCGTCGGATGTTCGACGTGATGTTCGGATCACCTTTTTCTTCGCGCACCCAGTGCGCCGAATTGCCGAAACTGCGACGGAACACACGGCCCGTCGATGCGAACACCGCGCCGTCGGGCAAACCGCGCTACATCGGATTCCCCACCTTTCACGAGAGCTCCCAGGGCCGTACGATCAGCCGAAGCGGTGGGAGGGTGAGGAGAAAAGACGAGTCACCGACAGCGACGTCCAAGTTTCAAATTAAATTTTCACCACGAATTAGAACCCGTCACATTTTTTTAACACGCGAGAAGCCCTGACTCATCTTTCATTAATAAATATTAATTCCCGATTATCTATATATCGCTATTATATTATTATTCACTAATGTTAATCTGTTATATATTTGATCATCGATTTATCATCGACGAGACCCGTGAAAATTATTGCACAATTTTTACTTTTAAGTTTAAATATTCAAAAATAAAAAGAAAACTCGTAAATACTTTATATCTCCAGGAATTTTTTATTCAATTTTTATTTTTAATTACTTTTCTCTCTTTTTGCTTCTCCTTCATTCGTAACTCTGCATTTGCTAATTAAACACACATCGTTCCTAATAGCACAATTATTGACCCAAATATTAGTCCGATATATCATTAATGTTCAACTTATATTGTCAATGAATTACTTCTGAGAAAAAAAAATATTAAATTTTAATCAATATTTATTTAAATAGTACCACATAAATATTTATTTAAAGCGAATAAATAATATTACTCCACATAAAAAATTATAGTTAAATCAAATTAATTGTTCTTGTAACAAATGATTTATTAAAATTTAGTACATTTTTTTTATATAGTGTAACATTTTGTTTCTTTAAATTATAAAATAAGACCCATTTCTCGACGTTATGCTTTCAAAAGGACGAAATTTGTCAGTTTATTGCACGACGGAAATATTCTCTTGTATATATGAGATATTGACTTGTTTCTGAGTGTTTTTAGCTACAAAAGAAGAAAAAAGAGAAAGAAAGAAAAAATAGTAATTAAAACTAACAATAAGTATTGTCAAGCTTTGTTCTTCATTCACGTTGCTCGTTCCTTGAGCTCATTGCGCTTACCGCATGAACCACTTCTCACCCATTAGATTGATTCTAATCAAAATCAATGACGGTCGATCAGACCGTATAATACAAGCATTCCTTCAATGTAATACGTTTATATCGCGCAGGATGAGCGAAATAAGGGAAGACCAGACGGAAATTTGGTCTTTCGAGGAAAGTCAATCTCTTATCTTGGATAATAATCCAATTTGCGAAATGAATACAATTTACGTCAATTTTCGATGCAAATTACCTTCTTTTTTGCTCTTGTACTTTCAGATGGTTTCCGTCATCGAGCTCAACGAGAGCGTCAGACTGCCTGGTGCTGAATTGTTAATAATACCTACCGACTCACATGTACACCGCTGCAAACAACCGTGTCTAAATGCCAAATGTGTCGACGTGCATACGAACAATTGATTATAACGTAGACGTCGTTAGACGAGAGATCTTTGTACCAGTCTGACATACATTCAAGAATTCAAGACTCTTCAGTTGTAAAACTTCAATGTCAAAACTAAAGAAACATTAAGGAGATTAAATTTCATACAGCTCTAACTTCCCGATTTTCGAGAGTAAACAGTCAGAGAAAGCGTGTGACAAAATAAAAGTGAGACAGAAAAAGAGAATAGTAAATATTATATAATTATCATACTAAAATATAATACAATCAATTATTTTAGGTGCACATTACTAGTGCATACATTTCAAGTGCAAATTACTAGTTTTATCTTATCAGAATGTCTATACTATAAGCGATTTCGATCTTAATGATTGCAGCGATTTGTAATTGATCCGACTGTAGCGCAAATAAAAATAAGTACTAGAAAAGATTTACATGTTAAAGCAATCGATAACGCCGACAAGAGAATCAAACGCTATCCATACAGCACAGAATTTGCAGCAATATCGCTGCACAAAATCTCTGCAATATTGCTGCAACTTTTGTGCAACTTTGTGCTGTAAGAGTATTGTATTCCAGTAATGCTTGTCACAGAGATTTCGAATTGCGTATATTACACATTTGTCACGCATCGTTATGTCTGATCACAAAGAATAGTGCAAACAAGTCGTTGAAAAAAACAAGAAAAAAAAACGAGTCATACATCTTTAAAAAAAGCTCACCTATACAGTGGTACATGGAAGGCCAGAATACGTTATGTAAGGTGATCCATTTTTAAACAAACGTTGTCGTTGTTTACTGTATGTGAATATTTGCACGCACATACAGGTGTATATTTTTAATAAAATTACGATCTCTTTTTAAAACCGAGAGTGTCGGTAGTCAACTCATTATTCGTTTCTTTTAATACATCCTCAGTTCTTGAAACAATAAAGATGTCCAAAACAATAACCCACAACTTCTGAAATAATTGTCATCAAAGAGAGGATAAATAATGATTTCAGATTTTTGAAAACCCATTTGTGAAATGCACTTTGCGAAGTCGTCAGTTCTCCTCTTGTTGCATTTGGAGCTCGCGTAGAAGTTGCGCTCTTTGCTTTTCCAGCTCGTCCTCGGAGAGTTCGTGATGTTCATTATTTTCCGTAACGGAACCTTCACTGTGAATAGAAGGCCTTCTGTGCTTCTCCTCCTTCCGTTTCCTTTCCGGGGATTCCTCAGAGGATGGAAGACCAGAGTGCGAGCGCTGTGAAAAAATATCAGGAGAAACGTGATAAAATTTGGAAATCTTCTCCGAGGAATCTCAATATTATTAATACATACGGAATGGCTGCGGCCTCTCTTCTTCTTATTCTTCTTCCTCTTGGACTTCCTTGTTTCCGACTCGGAACTGTCAGACTTGCTAGGAATACTGGGTGAATGTGACTTGTGTCGCTTTCTTCTCAAACCTTTCTCGCTGCCTTCCGACTCCTGCCAAGAAAAAAAAACATCAATTTTGCACTTTTCGCGACCAGGGATGATGAGAAAATGACTATTTTCTATAACACTCACACTGTGTGAACGCGATCGTGATTTGCGCTTCAATTTTTTCGCCTTTTTCTTCTTACTTCTGATATGATGATGACTACAACTTTCCTCAAGTTCGTGCTGATATTCCTTGAATATCCGTATTCTTTCGCTCTCCAATGTGATCGCCTTGAAATCTTGTTCTTCTTCGATTTTCGACCTTACGTCCTCCCAAACCATTTGATAGTCTACATTCAAAGATTTAAGCAAATTCTTGAAACCACTCTCCAGCTTCTTGAATTTCCGAGTCTCTTCCTTGACGCGTTCCTTTTCGCGTGCCTCTGCTTTCTCCAGCAATAAATTATATGTTAGTTTAACATTACCCGCATCTAGAGTCGCGGACTTTCGGTCTTCGCATACCACCGTAGCGAATTCCTCGAAAGTTGTGTTCACTTGCACTTCGAAGTTCTTGTCTTTGAGTATCTCGCGAATGATCTTCTTCTCATCATGGAATCGAGACTTTAAATCTTCAACATAGAATTTAAAAAGGTCCAGCGGACTTGAGCCCGATTGTCCAAGCATAGCCGAAAATCGAAGATCGGCAGATAACATAGGGTATAATTCTACCCACAGCGACATCGATGTGAGTTTCCCTTGTTCGTGAAGCTCATCAAGTAAATACTGAAACACATAATTTTTTATTATATAAAGAGTCAAAGTATTTTGATCTTATTAGTATAAATACTGAAATACATAAGCATAGAAGTAACGTGTTACTTATAACGCCGTTACATTTTTCATAGTAATGATTAGATAATGACGTTACAATTTTCTCATCCCTGCCGAAAAACATAATACGATATAACAATTAACAATGTGTGTTGAAACTAAAAACAACTTATAACACTCACTATGAAACCATCTCTGTTTTTCCTCTCTTGCCGTTTTCTACGTTTCTTTTCACATTCTTTTTCTTCTTCCTCATCCTTCTCTAATTGGCGGATGTGGTTTTCGAATACAATCAGGGCGTCTTCTTTGTCCATCTCCAACAAATCTGCGTCTTCCGCGAATGCAGGATACTGCAGCAACAATGCCTGCGCCTCCTGCCATGTAGTCCTGTATGTCACGTCCGTCATAGTGTCCAAAACTTGTGCCAATCTTTTGGTATTTCTCTTCTTCAATTGTTTCGCCTCTTCTTTCTCGCGTTTCGCCAAATTGAAGATAACATCTTCGTAGATATCCCGGCGATCCGAATCCCCGACCGCCCTCCAAACCTCTAAATTACCGAACATCTCCTCGCATTTGTAATACTTAGTCGTGCTTATCATTCTATCGTTTTCTAATAGGAATTGTTCTAAATCCTCTTTGGCCTTCTTCAATCTGTCAAAAATACGTTATATTATCCAATTGAATTATATATAAACAATATAATGAGTGGGATATTGTGTGGCTCTGTGTAAGAACAAGGGACTCTCTATACTTGTCTAACCGACAGGTCGCGAGTTCAAATCCCACATATAAACAGAAAAAATTTCGTAATCCGTACTGACTTAGCAGGAATTACAGAGGCGCTCTCTTTAAATCTAGATGACTCTTTAACTAAATTCAGACATATAGGGACTGATATGGTTCCTCCATTATGATTGTTAACATAATAAGTAATTGTGACATTTTTACCTGAGTCTTTCTTGCTCGCGCTCTTCCTTTAGTTTCTGCGTCTTGTACGAATGGAAGGCTTGCTTACGTTCATTTAACTTCTTCATCTGAGGATATCTAGGATCGTTTTGAATCAACTTGACCGCCTGTTCCCATGTGGCATTCGATGGAACATCCCTCTCCCTTAGTAATTCTTTGAACGCCTCGATAGCTTCCTTCTTATCCTTGAATTGCATTTTAGGCTCGGGTGTACTGGTGCGGCTGTCATTGGCCGAGCCCATCGCGGAATTACTATCCTCGTCCGGTTTCGTGGGAGGCGTCGGAATATTAATTGCTGCGAGGGTCGCGGCCATCGCCTGCTCGATAGCCGACTTTCCTCCTGATTCCGGTGTACTGGTTTGCGACATAGTCGGGACATTTGGTGACAAATGTTGCATTGCTACAGGAACCATGTTGCTAAAAACCATGATAAATATATAAAAAATTTCTGAAATAGTAGAAGATAATGTACAATTTCTGTATTATTATTTTACTCACGAATTCGTGGCGTTTGCCACGACCGCTGCAGCAGCCGCCGCAGCTTCCTCGGCTATAATTCGCGTCTTCAATTCTTCCAACTCCGGCGGTATTGTCCATCTGGACTCCTTAGTGCTTACATTGTGATAATACACTTTGCCATTCTCTGATTTGTATTCTTTCCAAGGACACTGTGACAACAACAATTCGCTTGGAGTTTTCAGTTCATCCGGCTTTTCCCATAACGACTGCTTCGTGATGCTGTTATAGTAATATGTTCTACCGTCAGGTGCCTTGTGCTCGCTCCAGTCTGTCTTCTTCTCTGTTGTGGAAGCAGACATTGTTGCGTTGGCATCGCTGTTGATAGGCGAAGGAGGAGGGATTCCTGATGCTGTTATTTGTGGTGATGCAGCTGTAATATAAAGGGAGCTATTTGAGCAACAGAATTCATAGACCAACATGGATATTTAGCAATGGATATTAACCTATGACTCCAGCCTCTTGAGGAGGTGCCGCGGTGATAGGAAAAGTAAAACCTGGCGGAGGTATGGAAAACTGAGGTGGCATTATACCCGGAGGACCTGGCGGTAAACTGGGAGGGGGAATGAATGGTGCCGTAGGCATAATAGGTGGCACAAAGCTAGATGCAATATTTGGTGTCGCTGATGGAAATCCTGTTACGGCGGCAGGTGGTGGAATACCATCATTTGAAGCCTAGTAATGTTTATATTGTCAGTCAGATGATCAGCAATTTTGAAAAGCGTAACAATGGCTACATTCAGCAGAGAAAACAGCTTTGTAACTGTTGTAAAATACTTCAACATGATTGATTTATGCCATTTTATTATTTTAGCTGCATAAGAAATCAAAGACAAGGATAGATTATATTAAAGAATTTTAATACGATAGTTGCAAAGCTGCTGTCTCTGTTGGGGGTCAACTATGTAACTCTTTTCCTAGGGCATAAAAAGTAAAAATTATTATATATGCATGTATATACATATACACACATATAAGAAATATATATATGTATATCAAAGATATAAGGCCTGTTCTTTTTCCATATTCCAGGCTTGAACTTCTTGCACGTTCTTTTTTATCTTTTTTCTCCAATAAAAAAAAAGAAGAAAGATGAACCATGTAAGAAATTCAGTCCTAGAGTATGGAAAAAGAATAGGCCTATAAAATATGGACTGTACCATCAGTATCTAAACAATATATCAAATGTAATAAAAATGAGAGAGAGAACATGAAGATATTTAGCCAATCTCTTTCTTTTTAAGATATTGCGAATAGAAAAAGTTGAATAGAAAAAGATAGAGACTATCTGTTTTTGCGTTTTTTCACAGTCTATATCAAGTAAGCAAAAAGTATTCTGGAGCATTTTAACAAGGTTGCAGCAACGTTGGTGCAATATTGCTGGAATGTTTTAATATGTTTCTCGCTTACTGGATGCTCTGTCTTTAATACATATATATACATACAAAAA